CTTAGACCAGAACAATATAAAATGGCTCCAGATGGAATCATGTACCAGTGAAAATGTCACTGGAAAACATGATCTAAACTACCTCAGGAGAAATTACTGGCATTCCATGAGAGGCAAAAATTTCCCCTTACCCCAATCTACTATTTTGAAAACAAGATATTTAGAAAATTACCAATGTAGTGATTTGACAATTCTGTACAATACTCAATGCTCGGGCGCCTGGGTGGCTCAGTTGGTTAAGCGACCGCCTTCAGCTCAGGTCATGATCCTGGAGTCCCGGGATCGAGTCCCGCATCGGGCTCCCTGCTCAGCGGGGAGTCTGCTTCTCCCTCTGACCCTCTTCCCTCTCGTGCTATCTCTCATTCTCTCTCTCTCAAATAAATAAATAAAATCTTTAAAAAAAAAAAACTCAATGCTCATCATAGTAAGTACAGTCTCCCCAAGTTATTCTGTTTCGAGCTTCATGCAAACCCTCCTGTTCTTACAACTCCCTGCTCCAAACTCCACAAGAGGCTTTTGGGATAGTATTAGTTTTGTTTTATATATTCATAGGTCCTTGAAAACAAAAACATGTATTTTAACATTTGTGTTTTAGGTTTAATACATCTCTTGATTTTTGTTATGTCCAAAATATTCCATAGGCCAATTTGAGTCCAATATGTAAGAAATCCTACATAAAAATGCATGCCAAAAGATGGAAAAATGCAAAAGCAAATTAAAAAGTTTTTTCTATAACATTAACCAAGCCTTTCAAACGATCATGAGTAATGTCTGGAGGCATGCTGAATTGTAACAAACGTTACAAAAAGTCAGGCAACACTATTTAATAAAATACATCCATAAAAGCCCTAGAGATAGGTAAGAATTTAATCTCTAAAAGAAGGAAAATTAAGGTTCCCATAATTACTAGAGGTAGGCAACTGAAGACAAGGAGTATCACAATGCAAAAGTAAATGGATCACCAAGAATCACACCACATCTGAGAAAAATTAAGATGATGAGGGACACCACTTTTAACACTGTAGAAAGTAGAGGAGATACAGCAAATATAAGACTTCATTATTGGTATGTTTTATGGAGTCAAGACTCTTCTTTTAAAAAAAGTGAGTGGGGCGCCTGGGTGGCTCAGTTGGTTGAGCATCTGCCTTTGGCTCAGGTCATGATCCCAGGGTCCTGGGACTGAGTCTCACTTAGGGCTCCTTGCTCAGTGGAGAGCCTGCTTCTCCCTCTGCCTGCCGCTCCCCTTACTCATGCACGTTCTCTCTCTGACAAATATCTTTTAAAAAAAAGTGATTAGGTATTTTAGAAATGTAGAACATGGTGAAACACTGAAATAGAAATTCTAGTTAGTGTGCCAGAAAACTGATCCAGAGGCTCCCCCCAGAATGCACTGTAAAACGGCAAATAATAGCGTAAAAAGAAAAATTTTGGTATTTCTAGAAGAGAACAGAAACTAGAGGGAAACATAATTCAAGAAATAAAACTCAGAGATACTTATCTTTTCTAGAATGGCAAGAATAAAGGCAGAAACCAAAACCAAACTCCAAAACAGATTGCCTAAGCAAAGGATTGAGAGTTGCATTGGCTTCTCAAGTGGATCCTAGAACACATTAGAACTTGACTCTTTAAAGCTGTGATGGAAACTTGATTCTAAACCTATAATCCTAAATCCATTCCAGTTAGCATTCAAGAATATAGACCTAGAAAAGGACCCCAATTTTTCCATATATAGCCACTTTCTGAAAGAATAATCGGCAATGCAAAGAAAACAAAAAATGAATCTAAAAGAAAGACATGATGTGGGGTGCTGGCTGGCTCAGTAAGTAGAGCATGTGACTCCTCATTTCAAGATTTTAAGTTCAAGCCCCACAATGGGTGTAGAGATTACTTAAAAAAATATCCTTAAATTCTTTTCCTTACTGTATTTCATATGTCATGTCTTTTTTTAAAATTTTATTTTTGGTACACAATGTAAAAGAAGGTAAAGGAGGTATTCTGGTGATTGACTTCTACATGGAAAGTGGCAGGAGAGAGAGAACATGTGAGCGAGCAGGCTAAAGCACTGTCTTTTCAGGGCATGGCACAGAGTAACTCAGTCTGGATTTGAGCTGCCTTTTAGCCATTCACCACTAAGACTATTAAATAGAATGAAAAATTCACTTCCCATGACACATTAGACAGCACAGATACTGAACACTTCCAGCACTGCAGGAAGTTCTGTCGGACAGCATTGCTCCAAATGTCAAGAAAAGTATATTTTAAAATGGGCATTACAATTTTAAGGGTGTAATTTTCAAAGAACATTAGAAGGAAAAATAATACATCAAATCAGTTTGATGAAAACAATAGTACAATTATAAATAAAAGCTAAAAAAGGGTTGTAGGATCATGTCTGAACATATGGTAATCACAAATAGAAATTAAATTCACCTGTTAGAAGATAAAAACTCTCATGTCAGGTTTTGTCTCGTTAATCTGAGAGTTTAATCCAACATAAGAGACATAGCTAAAAAAAAATATTAAAAAATTAAAGATTGCCACCTGGCTATAGCTATCAAATAAAAAAATGCATATAACCTTTTGCCCTAGTAATTTCATTCTGGGAATACCTGCATGTGTGGAAAATGATAAAATATTCAAAGAGCTCTACCACAGCATTGTTTTTAATAGCAGACGACTCTGGAAATGATTTAAGTATCTTAACAACAGAAAGTCAGTTGAAACATTATGGTTAATTTATGTAATTTATACAATGGACTAGTATGCAGCTTTTGAAAAAGAATGCACTGATATTATGAGACATCTCTGACATGTACTAAGTAAGAAATGGTGTCCATAATGGTATTTGGATAATGACAAGTATACCTACATATGTTTGCATAGGCATAAAATGTATCATACATAAACAGGAATAGTGTCCATTTCTGAGAGAGGAAGTGAAAAGCTAGAGGACGGTGTTAAGAAAACCCTTATTGTGTACTGTGTGCATGCATTTCTTATTAGAACAATACAGTTACAAAAAGTGGGTGTGGAAATATTTAATAGCAGACAAAATAGAATTCAATATGAAAAGCGTTATGAGAGAAATGCAATTTTCAAAAATTGATAAATGAACATTCCACTACAAGTCATGAATCTATGCATCTAACAATAGCTCCAAAATTTATAAAACAACTACTATGAGAAATGCCAAGAGAAACTGACAAATCCACAATTACAGAGATACACATCAACATACTTTTAGGAAATAGACACAAATAATAGTTAACACTTACTGGGCACTTCTTTGTGAATGGCACTGAACTATGCTTTTCCATGCATTATCTAAGGCTACAGAAAATGTTAATAGTAATTTGACAAGTCATATACATATACCATAAATACCTTTGTACCTGATAACAGAGAATAAACATTTTTTTCAAATATTCAGATGTTCACCGAAGACCACACATTAGGCACCTGCCCCCAAACAACAATGATAACTGCAACAACAGCCACCACCACTGCAGTCAACGGAGTCCAAGGAAATGAACACTACCACTGATTTGGCAACAGCGCTTATGAAGACTAATTTGGCATTATGTATCAAGTGTCCATACTCTTTGACATAGTAATTGTCTTTCTATCCTAAATAACCCAGATATGGGGGAGGCACTAAAAATAAGAAAATATTAGAAAGTTGAAATGAGAGAGATGGTTAAGTATGGTATATCCATCCAGTAGAGTATTATCCTGTCATTTTAAAATGACATTTTAACATAGTAACAGGAGAAAATGCCTGAAATGTTAAAGGAAAACACAACATCAAATTGTGTATGTTTTATACAGCTGTGAAATAAAGCCCAATCTTCCTTAATGGACACACATTAAAGAAGTACTATCTTTAACTTTCCCTTTAGGCAGCATTTTGCTTTGCATCCTTTTTTGCAACTTTCTGTTCACCATGCAAGGAACACATGTCTGAAGTTAAAGCAACCCACATTTCTACAAAAGAGAACAGAGAGGCCCTGAGAGTCCACGGCCACAGTGGCTGCTTTTCTGCCAGTTACAATGTAGCATACATATTTAGGCACATTAAACAACAGATAACTTAGACATGGACATTTGCTTTGGAATTCCTAAAGTGGAGTCAAATCTGGTCCCTCATCATCTCTGGCCAAGATGTAGCAGAGCACTGAGCAAACAATGACTCCCTGCATTTGCAGTCTCTCTCAACAGTAAATAAACTATTCTTATCTACCTATCAATACTTACAATTTGGTAGTCATTTTAAGGGGCAAAACTGGGGCAAATTTTTTGGGGAAATAAGTTCCTAGTTGATACTAGAAATATATTAAAAAAAAAAACAAACCCCAAAGAACTGTTAGAATCAAACATTTATGTTAATCTTTTTTTTAAAAAATAGGTCCAAAAGACTCAGTCCAGATCAGCACTGAAGTTGTATCAAGAATTAAGTTTGCTTCATGCCAATGAGCTGCTCCTCAGCAGGGGCTGGTTTTGCTATCTGAGGAGTGACAGCCACTCTGTCGTATACACAAGAGAGCTGGATGGCATCGACCGAGTCTTTCTCGTGGTTCTGAATTTTGGAGAATCAACAAGGGTAAATCTAAAGGAAATGATTTCCAATATTCCCACAAGAGTGAAGATAAGGTTAAGTACCAATTCTACCAACAAAGGCAGTGAAGTTGATACATATGACATTTTACTGGGCAAAGGAGAAGGCCTCATCCTTGAATACAACATGAAAAATCTCCTTCATCACCAAACAGCTTTCAGAGACAGATGTTTTGTTTCCAATCAGGCCTGCTATTCCAGTGTATTAAACATACTGCACAGCTTGTGTTAGGCTCCTTTATGAAAGAGATGAAGACACTGGCATCCCGTTCTATTATAAGCACTTCCAGTAATTTCATGTACAGCATGCTGCTGGGTAAATGCAGCTTGAATGTAACGGCTTTAAAAAGGTTCCCCAGTGTTTTAAAAAAATAATAAAATTATCGCTTGTAGAACTTGTAACTTTACTGAGATAGCATTAATATAAGAGATGATCGGAACACCTCAAGACTCCAGATTGTTAGAAAGATCTGGTGAATTCTAATGTGAAGAATGTTATTTTTCATAAAATACAGGCATAGCAACTGGAGGATGACTTACTGCTGAAGTGTCTAAAAACGTTCACTAGCAAAGAGGCAGGACCTTGATTTGTAAACTTTTCAAAGAAAATATGAGTTAGAACAGACAAAAACAAAGCTGTTCTGAAGGGGCGGGGGGAGAGTTGTGCTGTCACCAATCCTTCCTTCACCCCCAAGTCCATGTCCTTCTGAGGGACATGGTTTGAAAACCACTTTCTTAGGTTAAGGGGCATGTGCACCAATGGAGAGAACAGTATAAACAAGTGAGATGTACGCTAGACAAAATTTAGATGGAGAAGCAAATTTTAAAAAATTACTAACTTAAAAAAAAAAAATCTCACTTTTGCTTACCCAATTGGAATTAAGACTATGAAATATTTCAGTGTGTTTCCAATTCCCCTGGAATGCAGCATTTCAGAATTTTAGGTACTTCTTAAGATTCTCAAAAACACTGGTGCTGTCAAGTCCAAGTTCCTCGTACAAGAATTTAATTTGGGCTGTGATCTAAAAGAAACACATTTTAAAAATTAGACAGAGGGCCTTTGTGGTAAAACTCCAGTGCTAAATCTCTTTGTCTGTCCATCTTCACCTAACCCTTAAGTCAGCAATTTATGGCAAGGGTACCCTGATTATTTGGGACAGAGGCAGAAGGTGCTCCCAACAATTAAGATTCGATTACTTTTTTTAACAGAGCTCACTTACAAGTGTTTAGAGGGAACCCTTTCTCTTGACTGACTCAGCGTTCCTCTTCCCCGCTGGGCCTCAGCCATAGACCAGTTACGAAGCAGCGGTCATAAACCCTGCTGCAACCAATGGAATGTTGACTACAGCATAGCTCTACTTGGGCCTCCAGCAACTGAGAAGGGCTTGATAACATACCTTTTTGTGAGAATCCTCAATCACATGATTGCCTCCAGGCTGAATATCTAACACAACATTGGGGGCCTGATAGCCTGAAAGAGTTAACATATGAAACGATTAGGTTTTTTTGAGACTCATTTCTCCCCTCTTCTCCCACATATACTATTAAAGTAATAGTGAAGGAAAAAGGCATACACTATCATCACCAAGAAAGAGATGGGAGGGGGGAAGCAGAAGACAGACTTCTGAAACAGAGAAAGCAGGAGGAGGACCAGCAGCTGAGGACACCGGTTGGAAGATACTTGTAGGGTCCCATGGAGCAGGTTCTGACGCAAGAGGAAGCCAGACTGGCCCTGTGGAATCAGTTGTGTGACCTGGAAACAGCTACTATTGGCAATGGGTGAGTCTGAGGCATGAAGGTGAAAACAAGGGGATTAAAAACTTGTATGTGGGTCGCTCCCTCCCTGAGCCCAAAAGGTCTTGCTAAGGAAGGAAGGTAAAGAGTTCTTATCCAATGAAATGGAAAGATCTAAAGAAAATTAAAGTAGCTAGTTTGGACACTGAAGCTCCAGAGCAAAAGCTTTAGAATCTCTTTTTCAAAAGTTTCCAAGAATAATAGCTCAATTAATATTATTAAATGAATGAGTGTTTTATGACCGTACATCTCTAAGTTATATTTGATGTTTAAATTCATTTTTCTTTGTGCCTTGCCTACCTTATTTTAATATTTCCTTTCAAAAAGAGGCAAGGCAGGTATAGTTATTATATATGCTTCAACTGAAGAGTCAACATAGAAAAACCAGTTGTTTGTCCAAAATCATGGGCAGTTGTCTATAGCATAAAGTGTATTACTGAGTAGTATGTGGAAGGTAATAGTCCATTTAGCTAGGTTCCCTGCCTACAGGTGGTCTCCTACCTTCACCACTGTCCTTAGCATGCTCCATAATGGCTTCCTTGAGTTTCTCAGTATAGCTTACAATTCCTTTCAGAGGTACACGCTCATCGTTTTCATAAGCCGTGATGTGAATGGAAGGATAATGCTGAAAGAAAACAGATGCAAAGTTTACATTATTCTCTACGGTCCGTTTCTACCTTATAGATTATGAAAAAGAACTACCTCCAATTTTTTGATATAGGTGCTAGATATTTTCTTCTCATTTGAGAGAGCTATAGTATTATAGTACTAGACCACCTGGTACCTGGCATAGCCTTTCCTTGGCTGGCGAGGCCATGACCATAGCTAATCTATTCTCCTGAACTATTAAATTGAAACAAACATGGACTATGAGCAGAGATGGAGCTGAAAGGTATTTGGGTATTATAAGCAGAAACAACCTAGAGTCCTAGTAAATTCCTGTCTCGGCAAGGGTAAGTATCCTTTTGATTATTTTTTCTATCACTTTAGGATAGTGTATCAGAACTGTCTTTCATTACCTGTGGTTTAATATTTTGATATGGACAGTAACGTTTTATGTAGTTCTTGTGTTTTTCATCAGATGAAGGATTCCCCCATTCTTCTAATTCTTCTAATGTCAGAGGAAGTGTAGTGTCCATCATGGTGTTGAGAACATCCAAGAAAGGTGCCTAAAAAAAAAAAAAAGCCAAAGAAATTTAAACTTTGTTAAGAAACTTAAAAGTTGTTAAAACGAGTTTCAGAAAAATATATTTTATGAATATACATGCAGACATGAGAGAACAAAGGTTAAGAAGCCGTGTGGATTCCTAGGAGGTGGACTAACTACTCAGTCCTTAACTAGGGCCTGTGATTTATAACTGGCCTTTACAGTTTTCAGACTCTGAAAGTGATAACTTTATATATCATGTTTCGTGTGTATATAAAGAATTTATTTTCTAATTTCATAACTTTTTAGTTTGATGCCTTTATTTATACATATATTTTATATAAAAGCAATAAATGCTACCACTTTACATCCATTAGGATGGGTACCATTAAAAAAAAACAAAAACCAAAAATAACAAGTGTTATCAAGTATGTAGAGAAACTGGAAACCTTGTGCACTGTTGGTGGGAATGTAAAATGGTGCAGATGGTATGCTAGTTTCTCAAAAAACTAAACTCAGAATTACCATATAATCCAGCAATTCTATTCCTAGGTATGTATCCCAAAGAATTAAAAGCAGGGTCTTGAAAAGTATACCCATATTCACAGCAGCATGATGAACAACAGCCAAAAGGTGTTAGCAACCCAAGTGTCCACTGATGGATGAATGGATAAGCAAAATATACACAATGATACAATGGAATATTATTCAGCCTTAGAAAGGAAGGAAATTCTGACATATACTACGATAATGGATGGACCTTGAGGAACATTATCTAAGTGAAATAAACCAGTTACAAAAAGACAAATATGTATGATTCCATTTATAGGAGGTATAGATAAGTCTAATTTATAGAGACAGAAAGTAGAATGGTGGTTCTGAGGGGTAGGGGAAGGGAGTGTAGAGTTTTGGTTTTGCAAAATGAAAAGAGTTCTGGAGATTGGTTGCACAACAATGTGAACATACATAACACTACTGAACTGTATGCTTAAAAATGGTTAAGATGTTAAATTCTGTTATTTTCTCACAGTTAAAAATGAAAAAACCCAATATAACCAGTTGGACATTTTATATTAAAAAAAAGGCAATAAATGTTAATTGAAGAAAATCCAGAAAATATCCACACTGAAAGAAGAAAAAATCATTCCCTGGCTTATAACCAGTGTTAAAACATTTAATAAAATGGCAGCTGCCTTTTTCACTTAGCTTATAGTCTTCTGTTAACATGCTTTTCAGCATTCTCTTGTATTAACATTAACCTAGTGGGCAAATGCGATTCTTTCTGGCTGCTTAGCATCTGGACTCCTTTCCTGCATTTAAACTATCCCTAACCTTATGAAGCACAGCCTGCCTCTCACTAGGGAGGTGCTAAATGCCAGGCAGTTCCTTTCGCAGTTTTCCCAGCACACAGAGTAGCCACATGACTTGGGTCTACCCAATCAGACATAATGTGCTCCAAACTTTGAATGGGAAGTTTGTGGCTCAAAGTAGGGACCACGGAGAATTTCTTCTGGCAGAAGTGCCACATCTATATTGAGTTTTTAGAAACAGCTCTGGCAGTATGAGGTGACTTGTGCCCAGCAGCGGTCGCAGTGATAGCCTCACTGGACCACTTTATGGTATATTTTGGACATGTTTCTGGCTGTGCAGCCTCTATAAGACTGGTTCTATACCTGCCGTTATCCAATACCTTTTAATAAATCCCTTTTCTGCTTAAATTCATCAGAGCTAGTATTTGGTACTTCTAATTAAAACTATGAATCATCTATTGCTGGATATTTAGGTTGATTCCACTTCTTCACTTATTATAAGCAACGTGGGGTAAATATTTTTATACATACATTTCTGATTATTTCCTTTCTAATTTCTAAAAGTCACAGATAAGTTGTGTTTTCTTTATACTGTAACTAACTCTGCTATTATTATCTTTGTATATAGGTTTTCTTCCCTCTATACTTTAGCATTTCTACTTAAAAAAGATTTATAGATCAGGATTATTTAACACTTATTTACTTAATAGAAGCCTACAGTGTATACCCCACATTCTCAGAATAAAAGAAACCTGAAAATAATTTACTCTCTCCATCCCAGTCATTATTTTCTAGCATGTTTGACCAGGAGCAGAATGATGAGGGTGAAATGAGTGGCTATAATGTAACTGCATAATTTCGGACACCGGGAAAAGACTATACAGTTGACCCTTGAAGGACACAGGTTTGAAATACTAAAGTCCATTTACACCTGGATTTTTTTCAATAGATACACATACAGTATTGTATAAACAAACCTATTTTCCTTATGATCATCTTAATAACATTTTCTTTTCTCTAGCTTATTGTAAGAACACAGTATATAATATATAGAACATACAAAATATGTGTTAAAATCCACTGTTTATGTTATTGGTAAGGCTTCTGGTCAATAGCAGCTGTTAAGTTTTTGGGGAGTCCGAAGTTATACATGGGTTTTTGACTGCCTGTGGGGGTGGGGTTGGGGGTGGTGTCATCCAAGGGTCACCTGTAGAGATTTTTAAGATCAAAGCAAGATATTTCAATTACAATACAGAAAAACTATCCCTTAAAGATCTTTAAGAATGGAGTATCTAAAAAAGGAGAGCCGCTACATCTAGGACTGAAATGTTGATAGGTAGTAATAGTCAAAGTATTTCGTGGACTCCAGAGTCAGTGTGCTCTGCCTGACTCCCTGGAACTAGTGAGTCATATATGCTCTGTCTCTTTTCCACCAATTCTAAATGTTTTTAAAAAATAATAACTAATGAGAAAAGCCATTAATATCCTTCAGTGGAAATTCTCAAAAATTAATAACACTGTCAGGGAGGAAGAAAGGATAAAGGATAAGTAGTTAAAGTAAATTTATAAGTTCTCCCAGAGCTACAATTCTGTGTTTAAAATTTAAAAGCAGGGTGCCCAGGTGGCTCAGTCGTTGAGCGTCTAGACGCCTTTGGCTCAGGTCATGATCCCAGGGTCCTGCGATTAAGCCCCCCATCGGTCTCCCTGCTCGGCGGGAAGCCTGCTTCTCCCTCTCCCGCTCTCCCTGCTTGTGTTCCCTCTCTCTGTCAAAGAAATAAAATCTTTAAAAAAATAATAAATAAAAAATAAAATTTAAAAGCTTTGTTATACTCCTGTGCTATGGTAAAACTGTAACAGAAGTATTTTTCCTAAAGTAGCCTATGGTTTCATGCCTCCCCACTCTGTACATAGTAGAGAACAGAGTATACTCACCTCCAAAGTCACAGCTCTCAGCAGCTCTGGATTAGAATTACACAATGCTCCCACAAGCACCCCTCCAGCACTGAAAGCAGTCAGGGTTGTTAGACTTGGCTGAGAAAAGCCTTGGCCATGAAGCGTCTTAATGCAAGCCTCTAAGTCAGCAAGGCCATTGAGTTTTTTAGTTAGCCGGCCATCAGCGTGCCACTGGAGGCCTAACTCACCACCACCTCTGAAATTAAAGGGCAAAAAAATCTTTTAGTGGGGAAAAAAACATTAATGATTTAGGTCGGGGTCAGCAAACTGTAGGTGGTGGGCAATATTTACCCAGAGGCCATTGTTGTTGTTGTTGTTTTACTTTGTTTTTAAATGGCCTTAGAGCTAAGAATGGTTTTTACATTTTTAAAGGTTGGGAGAAATAAAAAACAACCAGGAATATACAATAGAGACCATATGTGGCCTACAAAGCCTGAAATGTGGGGCGCCTGGGTGGCTCAGTCGTTAAGCATCTGCCTTCGGCTCAGGTCATGATCCCAGGGTCCTGGGATCGAGCCCCACATCGGGCTCCCTGCTCCGCGGGAGGCCTGCTTCTCCCTCTCCCACTCCCCCTGCTTGTGTTCCTGCTCTCGCTGTGTCTCTCTCTGCCAAATAAATAAATAAAAATCTTAAAAAAAAAAAAAAAGCCTGAAATGTTTATTATTTAGTTTTTTAGAGAAAAGGTTTGCCAATCCCTGATATAGTCAAAAATGGATTTAACAAATATGTTTTTTAAAAAATAAGAATCACCGTCATTTTCTTTTTATTCATTCATTTAAAGTAAGCTCTACACCCAATGTAGGGCTTGAACTTATGACCCCAAGATCAAGAGTTGCATGCTACTACCCCTCAACAAATATTTTTTGGGTGCCTGCTACTGTTTACCAGGCATGGTCTAAATGCCAGCCTTAAAAATATAAAAAAGCAAAAATCTCCTGCCCTGAAGATAATTTTGGGGGGAAAGGAAACAGCTGCCAAGCAATGTGGTCACTGCTTTCACACAGTGTATTTAAGGTTATCCTAGAGGCAGTAGAAAGAACATCCACCTGTCAGGTTAGGGGTATATACTTCCTAAAACAAACGCTTAAGAAGGAGATGATACCTAAGCTGAGGTTTGGAGGAAAAGGAGTTCCCAGAAGCACAAAGAAAGGGAACACATCAAGACACAGCAGGTGAAAGGAACAAAGGGGAAAGAGTTTATCATCTGGAAGGATGTAACAAAAGCTGGATGTATAGGATGTATATAGCTGGAGTGCAGGGCATGTCTGGGTAGTAATGATAACTATCACTACAGAGGTAAGCCAGATCACAAGGATGTTAAATACTACACTGAGGAGTTTGGATTTTATTTTGGAGATGGGGAGGTGGAGAAGGATTTTAAGCAGAAACATAAAATAATATTTGTGTCTTGAAAATAGCTAAAATAAATGGAAGTTAGAGTGGAAAAGGATCTAGTTTGAGAGACTGTTTTAGAAAAACCTAAAGTCAAAAAAAAAAAAAAGAAAAACCTAAACTCAAGAGAATTAAATGGAAATAACATTACCGAGATTAGTACCCAGACTGGTACATCAATTCTAAAAATCTGGTGCAAGGTCCTAAAAATCTATCCTTTATCAACTAGTCTGATAAATCCACTTCCACCAGCATATGTTTAGGAATTCATAAATTCAGTAACACAAATGAGATAATAAACTTTGTTCCCTGATACACCGTTATGCTGGGCATCTGTCACAATGTTCTAGCACTCATATGCCAGGTGAAATGTTGTTGACTCACCGAACATGGCAATATGCTAATATCCATCCATCGTCCACCAACACCCGCCTTTCAGGTCTGAAATTCATTTTTAAATCCATTCCATAAGCTCCATATACATGTACCAGGAGAGGTTTCTTTTGTAAGTCCTCAGAATCCGTTTTGTGGAAAATGGTCATTGGCACTGATTTTCCATCCTGGAAATGAAGAGTTATTATGCATGTAAGTAAGAGTCTTTTAAAACAGCTTATCCCTGGTTTTATGCATTACTTATTTATGTTGAGCACAAACTTCATTTAATTAAGGCAACAGAGAGGTGCTTGGTTGGCTCAGTCAGTGGAACATGTGACTCTTGATCTCGGGGTTCTGAGTTCAAGTCCCATGTTGGGCGTAGAAATTACTTAAAAATAAATATATAAATAAATAAAATAAAGACAACAGAGTTATGGTCTTTAAAAATACATCATGAAAAAAAAGAAAAGAGTAAGGAGGGAAAAATGAAGGAGGGGAAATTGGAGGGGGAGACTAACCATGAGAGACTATGGACTCTGAGAAACAAACTGAGGGTTCTAGAGGGGAGGGGGGTGGGGGGATGGGTTAGCCTGGTGATGGGTATTAAAGAGGGCACGTATTGAATGGAGCACTGGGTGTTATACGCAAACAATGAATCATGGAACACTACATCAAAAACTAATGATGTACTGTATGATGATTAACATAATAAAATTAAATTAAAAAAAAAGAAAAAAAATACATCATGGTTCGTCCCCATTTTCAGCTATACTGCTGACCTGTAATATGAACTAGAAAAGAGCAGTAAGACTCTGGCTTGAAAACAGTTTATTAAATGCAGCTTTTCATGACAGTAAAGTGATTTTAAGGAGTTTTTTCACTACCATTACTGTAATTTTTTTCTTTCAAGGTAAGTCAATATATACCTATCAAGGTTAGACATACCAGCATAGCATTTTTCCTATACCTATGGCTAGATACTGACATTTCTCATCTTTGAATATTTACAAACACGCTGATTAAAGTTTTAACAGCACAATTTTCTGTCCGCTATAGGCAGTCCTCAACCATTAGCACCAGAATTTCTTACTGACCACTACTGTCATCCACCCTCATCCTCTTCAAAGGCCTACCTTTATTTTTAATATGTTTAATAGTGGTTTAAGTAAGTTTTATAAATTTTAACATCTGAATTACTTTAGGGCTAGTTTAACTACTCCCCAGTGTAGTTCACATTCATTAATCGCAAACTGACTGAAACTAGGCATCTCAGGACAGACAAAATTAACATAATCTGAACTACTTCTGATCTTCCCTTCATAGAAAAAGGGCAGAGGGGCGCCTGGGTGGCTCAGTTGTTGAGCGTCTGCCTTCGGCTCGGGTCATGATCCCAGGGTCCTGGGATTGAGCCCCGCGTCGGGCTCCCTGCTCCGTGGGGGGCCTGCTTCTCCCTCTCCCACTCCCCCTGCTTGTGTTCCCTCTCTCGCTGTCTCTCTCTCTGTCAAATAAAAAAAAAAAAAAAGAAAAAGGGCAGAGAAGTTGGTTCTCACCCTGCTTACAGATATTAATGAAACACTGCTAGTTTACATAAACTAAGAAAGAATAATAAAAGGAAAATAATATAACCAAGCCACTCTCCCTATTTTTTTCATTCTCATTGTGAAAACTTAACTTTGGGGCACTGGAATATTATCAAATAAGGAGGCAATCTTTCATCATTCCTTATCACACTCAGCTTGTTCCGAGTGTAACTGGAGTTTCACTTTTCAGATTCATTCTTATAAAATGAGGTAGATTAATTTCTATAAATTATCTTTGTCTTTTCATCTCCCCAACTTAAACAATCAGAGAAAAACTTGCTGGTTGAAAACTTATGAAAAAGAAGAGGTGAGAATGGTACCAAGTCCTGTGACGGGCTGGATCTGAGTTCATCAGCAGTGCAAAAATGCCTGTGGAAAGTTATAGCAGCAGGGTGCCTGAAACCAACTCTCGATTTTGGCTCAGGTCATGATCTCAGGGTCGTGAGACTGAGCCCTGTGGTGGGCTCCCTGCTCAGCATGTAGTTTGCTTGAGATTATCTCTCTCCCTCTGCCCCACCCCACCTCTCTGCATGCACTCTCTCTAAAATAATAAATAAACCTTAAAAAAAAAAAAAAACAGCAACATAGTAGCTTCCACTGAGCACTTGTCTCCCTTCTTCCCAATTCATAAAGCATCCCTGGGTTTCCACAAAGAACTAGCTTCACTGTTCTTCCCATTTGGGGTATGATAACTACAACATTTTGAAAGACTGGTATAATCCCACATTTCTAAAGTGGAACAAAACCTAAACATGTATTTGTTGACAAAAAACAAAACACAAAAATCTGGATGGTAATACACCAAATGGTAAACAATAATTATATCTAAGAGGTACAGCAGCAGCAAATGGAACTGAAAGTAGTCATCTAAACTTTACACATTCTGCATTTTTGCATTTCTTCTAAGAAATGTATTATTGAAAAATACATATTTAAATAAAACTATTAAAAGAAAATCAATGAGTTAAAAAAATTCATAAAGACAAAAGGCTTTGTCACAATTCACTGCCAGCACATATGAAATTATCTGTTGTTTGGTATGCTAAGGTCTGAAAATTCCTTAAATCCAAGGCCACAGTTTATTAATTTATTCCTCACTTGCACAAACTTTCTTTTCCACTTTTCACTTCCTCTCTGTCTTCCCTCTTTTACACTATACTTTGGCCATAATGCCCTTCTTTATACTTCTTTCTTTAAATTTTATTTATTTAAGTAAGCTCTACACCCAATGTGGGGCTCAAACTCATGACCCCGAGGATCAAGAGTCTTGGGCTCTTCTGACTGAGCCAGTCATGCAGCCCCCTCTTTTATACTTCTTGAATGCACCATTTCTCCCTCAGTTTAGGGCCTCTACACAACATGGATTCCTCCTTTCCCCTTTCTAGCTTAATTCTTTTTTTCTGTTTTTAAAGATTTTATTTATTTATTTGAGAGACAGAGAGTGAGAGAGAGCGAGCACAAGCTGGAGGAAGGGCAGAGGAAGAGGGAGAAGCAGGCTCCCTGCTGAGCAGAGAGCCCAATGCGGGGCTCGATCCCAGGACCCTGGGATCATGACCTGAGCTGAAGGCAGACACTTAACCAACTAAGCCACCCAGGCACCTCTCTAGCTTAATTCTTAATCATCTTAGAGGTCCTACCTGAGCCATCGCTTCCTTAGAGAAGCTTGCTCTTATCTCTCCAGCCTAGGGAAGGTCCCTGTGTCATGTTTCTGCTGTACTCAGTACAGCTTCCTTTGCAGCAATCAGTACATTAGCAATTACTCCTTCAACATCGGTCATTTTCCCTGCTAGATTTAAGCTCCATGAAGGCAGGGCTGTATCAGTCTAGCTCACTCTAGTCAATTGCTTACCAACTTCACAATTTTTGCCATAACTAGAAACCAACTTTGACTATTTAAGTCAACCTTAAAAATTCAAATATAAACAACATGTGAACTCAAGAGCTTGATATGTGCTAGTTATACTTTTTCTAATCCATGTTAAAATAAATATATCAATATTAAAGTTAAAAAAATATCCATGTATCCTCTAAAGATCATTTGGGTCTTACTGGGGTGAGATCCACTTTACAGAACCATGCTAATGTAATACCAGCAGCAACTGCACAGTGCCTGACAAATAGCACGCCTGCAGTAGATGGGGGCTCGAGTTGAGATTATAAAGACTTACCCTGCTTTTGGCTTCCAGACGTAAAACACGACTAGTCTTTGTGATTGGGTCTTCATGCCCAGTTTCCTCAAACAGTTTGCCCTCTGCAAACTTGTATGTGTAATATTTTGGGGGACGTATTGGAGAGCAAAGCTGAAAGGGGCAGTTCTTCGGGTCTGAATTTGTATCCATTATGAATCCACAGGCCCAAGGAGGGAGCTAAAGAAATAAAAGTTATTTTTACTCTTTATCTAGACATTAAGTATCAATTAAATTCCTGAGTCTGCTACAAATAAGATGATAAGGACATCAAGTTTACTTTTATCCATTATACATAATGCCTCATTTAAATATTATCTCAGCACAAATATATTTCGAATAACAAATGAACAAACCTCTACACTGATGACCAACAAAATAAGGACAAATTATAGGAAAGTGGTTTATCATGACTCTGGATTTACATGAAATCTACTTTAATAAAGATTATTATTTTGGGTATGGTTAAGAAAAAGAGCAAATCAAATCCTAATTCCAGAACCAGCCACATCTCCAGATCTCTGTTCTCCTGGATCACGAGATCTCTCTCATCTGTTTTTACTAATTTACCCCCAGGTCTCCCCTGCTGCCCAGACAGCCACAGTGATGACAGTTATTATTCCAGGGCTACAAACTGGCTCAGCAGCACTAAAGCACTTACAATTTGTTTCTAACTTTAGCTCCCAGGCTAACTATTGTGCAGAACAAAACCTTTCCTGGCACATCCACTCTGAGAGACTCACAGCTATTATGATTAGGATTCTTAACTTTAAGAAAAAAAGGAAAGGAATCAAAATTTATTCTCTCAGAGCAGCAGGGTCCAGTTTCAAGCCTGCCACTAACATCCCTCTTACACCTTTCAAAGAACTCTGGTAAACAAACTGACAGAATGTGAGAAATGCTGCCGAGAGTCAGAACATTAAAAGAAAACTGCCTTTCTTTTCCTGAGTAATTGTAGAAAGAACAAATTCCTTAGAAAATCAGAGGTCTCGGCACAGCAATGTCACTGGTGGGCACTATTCAAAAAGGGTAGGTGGGGGCTGTGTGCATAGAGTGCACCATCTGACCTGTAGCAACTACAGCCACAGAGCTTATGTTCACAGAGCAATTAATCCAAAGAATCTAGCTTCCTAAAACACAATAAGGATATATATTCATAATGTCTCTTAAAGACAGTTCCTAATATACTGTCCTCAGATTGCGGATTATATTCAAGGATAATGTTTATTTAAGTGCAAGCCATAGAACTGGAAAGCAGCCCATGACATGTCAAAATTGGGAAGTCTGGCAGCATAAATGGAGTAAACAGAGACATTAATGGGGTAAAAGCACCACTGCTACTCACCTTGTAAGAAGGTTTCAGAAAGAGGGGACACAGTGCCTTAGTCCACAGAGGCACAAGTTTTTCTATTCTTTGGTGAAACTTAAAAAAAAAAAAAAGGTTCCACGTGCCTTGTGTGGTAGGTGGTCATACTTTTAGACCAAGTGGTTCCAATAAATAAAAAAACTCTTTCAGGTGTATTTCTTAAAGTACTGGGTAAAGTTTTACCATAACAACACTGTTCCATGGCTATGGACTTCTTAAAGTTTGTCCAGCTCATGTGGAAAGAAGCATTAACCATCTCAAGGATACCTTAAGTCACATTTCCTACTGAGAAAAACCTGTAGTACCATCTGGGTATATTAATGGACAGCAGCTGAGAATAATTTTAAGTTGGCTAGGTGATATGAAGATATTTCTTAGATACTTGACAGAAACAGTTTCAGCTTTAGCATTCTACCAGCAAACCATGGTCATTTATTTCACTGAAAGAATGATTAAGACACACACGCTGAAAGAAAATTGGCCCAGGTATGTAATCACCTCCATGTAAACTGATGTTAGTACAGAACAGAAAAAAATTTCCCAATTTGCTTAAATATCATAACCAATTAAAATATCATTACTTCTTTTTGTGAAAAAAAAAAAAATTACCAGGAAAAACATGATATGATGACCAAGGATAGAAGGCAAATATATTAAGGATTTTACATTTCTGTTGCTCAGATTAAGTTTAAAAAAGCCTTTTAGTCAAGTGCCTACTGAAATGTTACATAAATACTTTATAATCCACTCAATTTGCTTAAGATTTTGTCCTTTGTGATTGACACTGTCTATGCATATTAATCAGTACTACCTAGTTCATGAAAGGCTCTGATCTATAAAATGTTCTTTAAGTAGAGCCCGGTATATAATGTAGTATTTGATTCCATGTGTTGATGACTCAGAACATTATAACAAGGCCTAATAACTACTACAGGTTGGGAGGTCAGGGTATGAAGAGACGAAGGATGCAGAATAAATTAAAGACATGATGTTCCATTGGAGACACTCCTGGAAGTCCCAAGCCCTCGGGAACAGGGGAAAATACACTGCAGGGCACTACAGGACCTCTTCTTCATAAAGCCATTACCCTCAACAACAGGAGACATAGTTGACTTTCCTAACACACAGAGACAGGCACAGAGACTAGACAAAATGAGAAGACAGGAATTTGTCCCAAATGAAAGAAGAGGACAAGGCCACAGCCAGAGATCTAAGCGAAAACAGATATAAGTAACATGCCTTATGGAAAATTTAAAGCAATGATCACAGGAATACTCACTGGACTTGAGAACAGAGTGCAAGAGATAAGTGAAACCGTTAACAAAGAGGTAAGGAATAACATAGCAGAGATAAAGGGCTCAATAAACAAAATGAGACACACACTTGATGGAATGAACGAACAAGAGGCTGGAATAAGCAGAGGAATGAATTAATGACCTAGAGGACAGAGTAATGTAATCAGGATGAGTAATGAGAGAAAAAAGAATTATGCAAAATAAGAATAGACTTAGGGAACTTAGTGACTCCATCAAACATAACAACATTCCTATTATAGGAGTCCTAGAAGAAGAGAGAAAAAAGGGGGCTACAGAATTGATTTGAAGAAATAATAGCTGAAAACTTCCCTAATCTGGGGGAAGGAAACATATCCAGATCCAGGAGGCAAAGAGAACCCCCAATGAAAATCAACAAAAGCAGATCTATACCAACACATATTGTAATTAAAATGATGAAGTACAGTGGTAAAGAAAAAATATTAAAAGCAGCAAGACAAGGGGCGCCTGGGTGGCTCAGTCGTTGAGTGTCTGCCTTCGGCTCAGGTCATGATCCCAGGGTCCTGGGATCGAGGCCCCCATCAGGCTCCCTGCTCAGCGGGGAGCCTGCTTCTCCCTCTCTTGCTCCCCCTGCTTGTGTTCCCTCTCTCGCTGTGTCTCTCTCTGTCAAATAAATAAAACTTAAAAAAAAAAATAAAATAAAAGCAGCAAGACAAAAGAAGACCGTTACATACAAAGGAAACCCCATAAAGCTATCAGTGGGTTTTTCAGCAGAAACCTTCCAAGCCAGAAACGAGTGACATGATGTATTCAAAGTGCTGAATGGGAAAAACTTAAAGCCAAGAATACTCTACCCAGCAAGGCTATCATTCAGAATGGAGAGAGAGAGAAAGTGTTTTCTAGACAAACAAAAACAAGGAGTTCATGACCACTAAACCAGCCCTGCAAGAAATCTTAAGGGGGATTCTGAGTGGAAAGGAAAGATAAAAAAAGACAGCATGGGGGTGCCTGGGTGGCTCAGTTGTTAAGCGTCTGCCTTCAGTTCAGGTCATGATCCCGAGGTCCTGGGATCAAGCCCCACATTGGGCTCCCTGCTCCGCGGGAAGCTTGCTTCTCCTCCTCCCACTCCCCCTGCTTGTGTTCCCTCTCTCGCTATCTTTCTCTGTCAAATAAATAAATAAAATCTTAAAAAAAAAAAGACAAAATGACCATAGGAAGCACAAAAGCAGTAAAATGAATCCACAAAATAAAAGGATGTAAAATATGACACCATAGACCTAACTTGGGGAGGAGAGGAGTAAAGAATGGTTCAAACTTCAATGACCATCAACTTAATATAGACTTTAGCTATATGCAGCAGAGGTTATATAAAAAGCTAATGGTAACCACAAATCAAAAACCATTCATAAATACGCAAATAATAAAGACAAAGAAATCCAAATACATCACTGTATTGCTGAATGATGAAAGAGAGAAAGGGAAGAAAGGATCAGAGAAAAACTGCAGAAAACAAACCACAAAACAAGTAATAAAACGGCAATAAGTACATACCTATCAATTACTTTGAATGTAAATGGACTAAATGCTCCAATGAAAAGATCTAGGGTGACAGAACAAATAAAAAACAAGACTCATCTAAATGCTGCCTACAGGAAACTCATTTTAGACCTAAAAACACCTGCAGATTGAAAGTGAGGGGATGGAGAAACATTTATCATGCAAATGGGTATCAAAATAAAGCTGGAGTAGCAATACTTATAAAGGACAAAACAGATTTTTAAAGACTGTAACAATAACAATAAAAAAATAAAAAAAAAGACTGTAACAAGAGACAAAGGACACTATATAATAAACGAGACAATCCAACAAGATATAATAATTATAGATATTTATGCACCCAAAATGGGAGCACCCAAATACATAAAACAGTTAATAAGACACATAAAGGAACTAACTGGCAACAATACAGTAATAGCAAAGGACTTTCATGCCCCCCTTACATCAATGGACAGATCACCTAAACAGAAAATCAACAAGGAAACAATGTCTTTGAATAACACTGGACTAGATGGATTTAACAGATATATTTGGAGCATTACATCCTAAAACAGCAGTATACACATTGTTTTCAAGTAAACATGGACCATTCTCCAGAACAGATCACATATTAGGCCACAAAATAAGCCTTAACATATTTAAAAAGACCTAAGTCATACCATGCATCTTTTTCGGACCGCAGTGCTATGAAACTGGAAATAAACCACAAGAAATAGTTTGGAAAAGATCACAAATACATGGTAGTTAAATAACATGTTACTAAACAATAAATGGGTCAATCAGGAAATAAAAGAAATAAAAAAATACACAGAAACAAATGAAAATGGAAACACAATGGTTCAAAACCTTTGGGATGGAGCAAAAGCGGTTCTAAATGGAAAGTTTATAGCAATACAGGCCTACCTCAAGAAGAAAAAAAATCTCAAACAACCTAACTTTACACCTAAAGGAGCTAGAAAAAGAAGAACAGAGAGCCCAGAAAT